TGAAGCTGGAACAACTACATATTCTACACCCACGCGCCGCCGCGCAGCCGCCATAGTCTTCCTCGTCATCATCGTCGACATGTACAGCATCATCTTTATTATTATGCAGGTGGGAGGGGAGAGAGAGAAAAACACAAACAACAACAACAAACAACAACATGAAGGCGGCCTGACGGAGGAGGAGGAGGAGGAGGAGGAGGAGGAGGAGGAGGAGGTCTCCTCATTTCATCCCACCGACTCCCATCCTATGTTCCTATCTCCGAATTCTCCTCGCACGCTTCCTCCTTGCATGCCCTCTGCTCCTCAGTCTTCCCTCTCCTGACTCGCTTTCTCTTTCTCCCTCCTCAGCATCAGCACGCGAGAATTTCCCAACGGAGTCAGCGAGCAGGCCTTCTACAACCTCCAGCAGATCCTCCACAGGAGCCATCAAAAGGTTCGTGAGGAGGAGGAGGAGGAGGAGGAGGAGGAGGAGGAGGAGAAGGAGGAGGAGAAGGAGGAGGAGCTGATTCAGCTGTCAGGGGAATGTACAGCTGCAAGGAGAAGGGTGGCAGAGGTGGGGGAGGAGGGAGGACGGTGAAGAGAGGACGGCAGGATTGACTGTGACGTGCAGGATAAGAGACCTTCACTTCTGCAACAACATCCGGTCGACGTACCACGAGAACGGGGAAAGAGAGACAGGTAGGACGAGCTGGGAAGTTGCTGGGGTGTAGCTGAGCTGAGGATGGTTGGCAGTGTTCAAGCGGCTGCTCCAGAGGTCGGACATGGTGGGTCACAACCTGAACAACGTGCCGGGCTCCTCGAAAGTTTGCCACCTTCGTTTCTCGTGGAAAGCGGAACAACCTGTAATGGATGGAGTGACAGGTAAATGTGATTGAGGGAGACTGTGAGGGGTTTGTTGGTCATCGTTATTGCTATCTCCATCACTGTTTCCATCATTATCATCGTCATCGCCGTCGTCGTCATCATTAACATCAACATCAACAATAACATTAACAACAACAATAACTTCAACATCATCATCATCATCATCAACAACAACAACAACTCATTACCATCATCATTATCATTTTCAATAAAAACATCATCATCATCATCATCATCATCATCATCATCATCATCATCATCATCATCATCATCATCATCATCATCATCATCATTTCTCCCGGAGGGTCGAATAGCGGTGCACCATCTCCACCATACCATCGCCATCTCCTCTTCTGCTCGTGTTCTCATTTGTTACCTGCAGACACTGGGCCTCTGGAAGGCGTCAGGGAGAAGAGGAGGATTTCATATGTTTACAAGATGTGAGACGTTCTCTTCCTCCCTCCAGCGACTACCCACATAACAACTTCTGCTCTCCTCTCGTCCTCCAGGTGGAGATACGACCTGACAGTCGTCTATGGCGCTCCTGTACAAGGTTGTCTCCTCCTCTGCCTCCTCTGTCTCCACGTATCTCTCCCTCTCTCCCTCCCTGTCCGTCCACTTTCCTTTCCTTTCCTTTCCTTTCCTTTCTTTTGCTTTCCTTTTCCCTAGTTCTTTTCCCGCTTTCTCTTCCCTCTTCCTCCTTCCCTCCTCCCTTCCCTCCTGGTCGTTCCCATTCCCATCCTTCTCCTCCCTTCACCCCTCTCCCTCCCTTCCCCACCTTCCCTTCTTCGCCTTCATCTCCCAATCAGCCCTCACTCTCATACGCATCCCTTTCCTCCTCCTCCTCTCATCTTCCCCTAGATTTCAGCATGATCGATGCCGCGCTACAAACAGCGATCCCGTCCTTTGAGGTATTCATTTCTGTCCTCTCTCCCTCCCTCCTCCTCCCTTCCTCCTTCTCCTATCCTCGTGCTTCCTGTTCCCAGCTCCTCCACTATTCCTCTTGTCATGCTCATCCCACGATTTAAGATATTGTCCTCCTTATCACCCTCCTCTTGATACCCCCGCCCCCCGCCCCTCCTGCTCCCCTTTCTCTCTCCTTCCTCTCTCCTCCTCTCCCTCCTCCTCTCCCTCCTCCTCTTTTCCCTCCTCCACGCAGGTGGAGATGGAGTACCTTCCCAAGCGCGCTGGTTCTCCTGCTTCGGTCCCACCTGCTTATCTCGCGCATTCCATGCTCCTCAAGGCTCAGGTGCGAGCATCAGCAGCTGAAAGGACCCTCTCACTCCAGCTGGCAGGATGTTTGCGGGTTCTTGCTCGGGCACCAGGTGGTAGTGGCAGGAGGCGGAGCAGGAGAACGAGGGAAAGGAGAGGGAGGAGGAGGAGGAGAACGAGGAGGGGGGAAGGGGAAGGGGGGCAGGAGGAGAAAGGAGAAAAGAGGAAGAGGAGCAGGAGCAGCAGGAAGAGAACGAGACTGAAGAAAAGCAAGATGGAGGAGCAGGAGCAGGAGCAGGAGCAGGAGCAGGAGCAGGAGCAGGAGCAGGAGCAGGAGCAGGAGCAGGAGCAGGAGCAGGAGCAGGAGCAGGAGCAGGAGCAGGAGCAAGAGCAGGAGGAGGAGGAGGAGGACGAGCTGAAGTGTCTCATGCAGGTTCGCCCGGAGTTGATCATGCGAGCAGTCTACCTGCAGCAGCCTCCTGGCCGTGTGATGGAGGAGAACGTGGGGGAGCGAGGAGGGATGCAGGAGATTGAGGCGTGAGGGAGTACAGCAGAGGAGGAAGGGATAGAGGAGGAGGAGGAGGAGGAGGAGGAGAGGGAGGAGGAGCCTACTGATAAAAAAATCGTCTAGATTACAATGTTATGAGCATGGGATTACACAGACTTCTTGTCCTGCTGGCAGTGAGAAGTTGGAGGTGTCGAGGTCCGGGTTGAGCTGCAGCAGGCTGACGAGATTCGTGTCTGCGATGATGCAGATCAGGGGAGGAGAGGGGGAGAGAGAGGGGGAGAGGGGAGGAGAAGAGGAGGGAGAGGAGAACAGAGCAGAGGGGAGACGGGAGAGGGGCTGGGAGGAGAGGGCAATGGCAAGGGAGGACAGGAAAGGGGGAGGGAGGGGGACGGGAAGAGCGGGGAGGAGGATTGGGAGTGAAGGGAGTGCGCGAAAAAACGGGCAGAGGTGGGGCGGGCGATGAGAAAGAGAGCAGAAGAGGAGGGGAGGGGGGGACGGAAGGAGGGTGACGAAGACAAGAGGGAGGAGGAGGAGGACGGCGAGCAGGAGCAGGAGCAGGAGCAGGAGCAGGAGCAGGAAGAGATTACGGAAGCGGGAGGACACGTCAAGCAAGGTTTCTCCCTTCTTGGTCCGGTAGATCATTCCCACGTTGAGGACAGTCGAGTTGCCGTCAGTCGCAACAAAGAAGGGATCTTCGATGGTCTGAGAGCAGGCGGGTGAGAGAGGAGGAGACGAGTGAGAGAAGTTAGAGGAGGAGGAGTGAAGTCAGAGGAGGAGGAAGAGGTAGGCGCAAGGGGGATGGGAAGGGTGAGAAGAAGTGAAGGGAGATGAAGGGGAGGAATTGGAGCAAGACGAGGAGGGTAGAAAGAGGATGGAGGAGGAGGATTGAGGAGGAACGAGAGAGGTCGGCGGGTGGGGGGATGGTGGGGAGGGAAACAGACAGACTGAGAGAGACTGAGAGAGGAAGAGGAGGAGGAGGAGGAGGAGGAGGAGGAGAGCATTGAAAAGTTCCTACCGGCGTTCGCGGGTCTCCATCCTCGTTGCCGTTCACCGCCCACAGGCGAAGCCAATTCATGCCGGGAAGAAAGAAGCGCATCTGATGAGATGAGTGAGATGAGGAGGGGAGCAGGAGGGGAGCAGGAGAGGAGCAGGAGGAAGGTACGGAGAGAAGGGAGGAGGAGGAGGAGGAAAGAAAGACTGAGAGCAGAGGAGGGAGGAGGAGGGAGAAGGGGAAAGAGGAAGTGGGAGGGACGATGGGGGAAGAGGAGGAGCGGAAGGGGTGGAGGAAGCAGCGTGACGGAGACCTGAGACAGGAGAGTCTCCCCTGTAGCAATGCAGTACTTGCAGCGCTGAACGTGAATAACGAGGCATCGTTCTCCTCCTCCTCCTCCTCCTGCGTAGATCGTCTGAGGGTCCCCAAAGGCTCCTCCACCGAATCCTCGTGCTCTGAGGACCATACACATCCTCGTCACCGAGCCCTCGGTCCCTATAGGAGGGCTCCACTGAAGGACAGTCTGGGTAGCAGTGCTGAGGAGGGAGGAGGAGGAGAGCAGAGTCATGCCGTCCAGGAGGGGAGTGGAGGAGCTGGGGAGGATCTCGACGAGGTAGTGATCGGAGGAAGCGAAGAAGTAGTAGCGCTCCTGGCAGCCGACATGCGCCGCCACGACTGTGCCCTGGGAGGAAGCGATCGTTTCGTTGGACCAGGAGACGATCGCTGGTTGGACTTCGACCTTGACACAGTGCGGGAGGCCGTAGAAGCCGCGGGAAGTCGCGAGGCGGCTCGGGGAGGAGAGGAGGTGAGGGAACGTTTGGAGGCAGATGGAGGAAGAGTCCTTGGCGAGGAAGCAGAACCTGAGAAAGGGGGTCAAAGGATGATGGGAGTGCAGGGAGGGAGGGAGGGAAGGAGGGAGGGAGGGAGGGAGGGAGGGGGAGCAGCAGCAGCAGCAGGACGGCAAAGAAAGAATTTTAGTAGCAGTAGGATGAGCAGCAGCAGCAGCAGCAGCAGCAGCAGCAGCAGCAGCAGCAGCAGCAGCAGCATCAGTGGTACCTGTACACCCTTCCGTCCTCTCCTCCCATGGGCGTCCACCTCAGCTGCCTGACCGCCTCCACACACGACCCGGGACCCCCCGAGACGTTCTGACCCGAGGGGGTGGTTATGCTAACACAGGAGCTGGGGGTGAGCTGGGAGGCAGTTGGAAGGCCGGGATCCTCTAGAGTGACAATCTCGACGTCGTCTCCAGAGTTTGGATCCCTTGCTCGCATGCTGAACGCGACCTGCCTTCCTACGTAGGCTGAGAAGAGGCTGGTGCCGTTGCCCATCATGTTCAGATCTTGAGCAGGGAAGGGAGAGTCGAGGAGGTTGGAAGAGTGGCGGAGGAAGACGGGGGGGCCTTGGAAGTTGATGGAGTGACAGCGGAGGGAAGTGTTGTTGAGGCCCCTGCCTCGGTAGACTGCCTGTGAGGAGCGAGTGAGGTGAGGAGGAGGAGGAGGAGGAGGAGGAGGAGGAGGAGGAGGAGGACGAGGAGGAGAGTGACAAGGGGGGGAGGAGAGGAAGTGTGGAAGTGAGATGAGCAGGAAGGAAGGTTCGAGTGACAAAAAAGGAAGAGGAGAATAGAGGGAGAATGAAGAAAACGTGAAAGGCATCGGGGGGAGCGGAGGGGAAAGGAAGGAAAGGGAGGGAGGAGGGAGAGGGAGAGTAGAGGGGAGGGAGGGAGAGAGGGGGGAGGAGGTAGGACGGGTGGTAGGGCAGTTGAACTTGTCTCGTTGACCTGGTTGTCTGTGGCGAGCAGGCAAGCGACGCGAGGAGAGATGAACTGACTGTAGAAATATTCGCCAGGAAGTCCTTCAGACACCTGAAACGAGGAAGAGAAAGAAGAGAAGGTGAAGGAGAAGGAGAAGGAGAGGGAGAGGGAGAAGACGCAAAGCAGAAAGTTACAGGATTATGTTGACAGAAAAAAGAAAACATGGAGGACAGGACGAGAAGAGAGGAGAAAGAGGAGGAGAGAGGTAGACCAGAGGAAGTGTAGGGAGGAGGAGGAGGAGGATCATGATATTGATGAAGAGGACAAGGAGGACGAGGACGAGGACGAGGGTACAACAAAACATCTCACCTGCGAGTACGTCTCGGTAACAACAGGCGACTCTCCTCCTCCTCTCCTCCCATACTTTACGCTCACGTTCAGATAGACAAGGGCCGTCCTACAGGTCTCATCGTAGACGTGCAGGAGGCTGGACGGGCGCCGATCGCAGGAGGAGGAGGGGTGGTGAGTGTAGAGGGAGATGGAGTGGACAGAGTCGTCGAGGAAGTAGACGTTGGAACGGTTCGTGTCGTTGAGCACCTGCAGCTCCACTGTCTCCCCTCGATCGTCGTCGAAGGCCTCAAATTGGAACTCTGCTGCAGCGGCTGCTCCGTACTGGGATGTGTTAGAGAGCAGGAAAGAGAAGGAAGGGAAAGGGAAAGGGAAAGGGAAAGGGAAAGGAAGAGAAGAAGGAGATAGAAGGGACAGGGAAGGATCGAGAGGAGGGAGAGGGAGGGAGACAACGGAGGGAGACAACGGAGGAGGAAGGAAGAGGAGTGATGGAGGGGATAGAGAAGAGCGATTGGTAAGGGGAAGACAGGGTCAGAAGACTGGTGTGATGCAGAAAAGGAGAGCGCGAATAGATCAACTGGAGGAAGAAGCAACGCGAAGGAGAGAGGGAGGGCTAGGAGCAGCAGCTAGTTGAGGAGGACCAACCAGGGACGAGTTCCCGTCATCGTTCCCGAGGGAGGACGAGGACAGCAGGACTGTCTTCTCCTCTTTCCAACAGGCTTGAAGCTCCGTGCACGTCGATCGCAACGTCGAGACATCGGGGACTCCCTGCAGCACGTTGTCGAGGGTCTGAAAAGTCTTGAAGAAGCATCCTGAAGCATCCTCTGACAATCTCGTCAGTCCACTCCGGCCCCTGCTCCTGCCCCTGCTCCTGCCCCTGCTCCTGCCCCTGCTCCTGTTCCCCTACTGACTGCGCTCCTTTCTCAACCACTGTCGTACACACAGCCTCTACCCATCTTCAAGCTGCCCTCCTCCCTACATCCTTCTTCCCCCTCTCCTCCTTCTCCTTCCCTCATTCTTCTTCGGCCTCTCTCTCTCCTTCTTCTCTTCCTTCATTTCCTCCTTCTTCTGTCCATTCTCTCCTTCCTGCCTCTCCTCTTGCCTCCCCCCCTCCTCCCCATCACCTGGGATGGTGAACCGAGGGAAGTGACCGACTATCTCCACCACCACACAGTGAGGGAGGCTGTAGCAGCTCGATCGGCAGGTCGAGCAGCGGGCCTGGAAGCACAACGAGAGTTTCCTCCCGATGTCAAACTCTGACGGCCCGGCCATGGATGTCCGCTGCCCGAACACTGACACGGTCAGGGCCTTCACCCCTGCCGCCACCGTCGACTCGTTGAAGGAGTGACACTTGAGGTCGAAGGAGGAGCCTGTTGTCTTGCGAAAACAACCTTGAACGGACGCGTGCTCCAGGTCGTACTCGATGTTGCCGTCCGTGTTGATCTTCTGGTCACATCGGCTGGTAGCGACGGTCGAGCTCCACAGGCAGGGGAAGGAGGTATCGCTTACGGTGAACGGGACGGCCGTGACGACGAAGGAGCAAGGCTCGTTTGCTACACAGGTCACCTTCTTGACAGGAGGAGAGAGGCGGGAGTTGTTGTAGCTCACAAACACTGGAGCCAGCACTTTGGTGCTGGTGGCGGTTGAGACTGAGATCCCCTGACTGTCGAGCGTGTAGGGGACGATGGAGGGACAGAGAGAGATCATGAACTCGATGGGCACAGAGACGTTGAAGGGATCCGACACCAAAAATCTCACCGGATAGAAAACCATCATGTTCGGAGTCCTGACGTTAGTTGTCACCAACATCACCCCCCTGACCTCCACGTTGATGCCTCCCCCGTCACCGTCGTCCCGCGAAGAGAGCTTCCACTCTGACAGGGTATCGCTAGCCGTCAAGGTCGTTGTTGAGTCGCGCAAGGCGTCCGAGTGAAGGGTAAGGATGTAATCAGCGTTCCAGCCAGGTGGATAGCTTGTGGCCGTACAGGCCGGGCAGGACCCTGTCCCACGGGTGCCCGTGGGACAGGGGGGGCAGCCTTTCATGTCCCATTTCATCTGGACATTGTTGCACGGGCTGGTGGAAGAGCAAGTCAGAGGCCTTCCTCTGCCATCGACATCGACAGCAGGGACTTCAATCGTGGTTGTCGAATTTTGGTTGACGAGGATCGGGATCGTGACGATGGGGAGCATGGTAATAGCAGGAGAGTGATGATTCGTGACCGGATACAACTGATACGTCTTCTCGAAGGTTTGCTCCCAGGGATTCAAGCATCCTCCAGTCGACGGCAGGGTACCGGTGGGGGAACAAGAAGAGCAGGTGCTGTTGGGCGAAGAGCAGAAGTCAGCAAAAATGACGAGAGAGCTGAGGTAGATGTCTGAAGCTGCGAAGTTGTCAAGACAAAATTTACAAGTGAGTTCACTGGAGCCAAGGTCGGGAGCCAAACACGCGTAATCCATATAGTAACCGGTCTGCGTGCATTGAGCATACCGCTTCAAACCATTGCCCTCAAACGACACGGTAGAGTTCCAGGAAGCGCCAGAATGTTGGACGACCTTCTGATAGATCGTGTAGACGAGGACAGCGTTGCCGTACGACCTGACCGACAGGATTTTGAACTGCATGTTTTCACATTTCTTCGGCTGAGTTCCGTCCATCCAACAGAACTGTGCTGCTTGATTCGTCTGCGCCAGGCTTCCAGGGCTAGGAGTGGAGGAGAACGCTGATACGTTGAAGACGGCTTCTACAGTGTGCAACAGCCGTCTATGGTTGTATGTCGAGCATCCCCCACTCGGTCCCAACTGGATGTCCATGCATGAAGGTGGCACGAGCTCTTGCGGAGTAGCCCCCACCCTCTCCCAGCGCATCGTCGCTGACAACATCCTTCCACGAGCCGCATGGCAAGCGAGCAAGAGGAGGAGAGCGCGGGCAAGAGCAGACGCTCTCTCCATCCTCCTCTCGACGCGTCTCACCATCGCCGAGCCCTCGCCATCTACAACGTCTGAAAACAAAAAAGTCAAAACTGTGAGAGCTCACCACGCATTCCGAGTCCGCCTCAGGTGTGAATCATTCAGCCCGGCCCGCCGGCTGTGAGGACTGACTGACCAGGGCGGGCCGTCGCCGGGGCTCTGAGCCCCGTCGGACCGGCGGCGATGAACCGGGGGGAGAGCCATTGCGCAGCAACGGGGAGCGGCGCGGGCGGCCGGGCAGCGCAAGACTCGCTCAGTCGGACACGAACTTTGCCATCTCGGAGGGTCTCGGAGGCATCCTGCCAGGCTGACGCGGCCGGGACGCGGCCGGGCATGGCCCGGCCGCCGCCATCAGCCGCCCGGCGGCTGACTCGCGCCCGGCCGGGCCCCCCGGGCGGCTGTCGGATCGCACTGCCGGGGCCGCCGTTGGTACAACCGTTATGAGACTTTGCTGGATGGTAACGGACAGGTGAAGTGCTCAGAGTTGTGGCTATGAGAGGCGATTCTTTTTTCCGATGCCACGTATCAGCCCTAAGGGCTGACATCGAAAAGATCACTTTTCATCAGATGAAAAGAATCGACGGTTCGAGTTGGGCCGCATCTCGGACCCCCACCCCTCTCATACGTTAGCCCAATAATAACCCCGCCACCCCCACCACCCCCACCCTGACCACCCACCCTTTAAGGAAGTCACGGAGCTCCCCAACTAATAAATCTAGTGAGTCCCGCATCCCCCGCAATCCTTCCATCCCCGTTCGTGGCGAAGACGACAAGATGATGGTAGGCGAGGGTGCTGAGGACGAGACAGAGTGGGGGAGCGAAGATATGAGCAGTGCAGGAGGTGTTGATAGCATGCAGACTATCAACAATCTTTCCGTCTCCATGGTTTTGAGAACAGCCCTTTTTCACCAATGACAGTACGCTGAGAGATAGATAGAGCATGTTATCATCAGAAACTTACCGAACAAGAAGAAATTTCTTCAATCAACTGACACATCCTCTTCATGGACAGATGTTCTGGTCAGGCGATACCTCTGACCTCCCCCAAAACTCTACTCTCTGCCCCACCGACCCCCATCAACAGGAATATCAATGCTTTCCTCACCTTGACGACCCCATCCCTCCCCTTCCCGACTACCGCCCGTCCTCCCCGCTCTTCTCCCTCCCTATCCCTCCCCTCGACTCCCTCCCCGACCAGCTCGTCTACCTCCCCCCGGACCCGCACGAGCCGCTGGCGGACTCTGAGCTCTACAGCTTCCTCGAACAGGATAGAGAGGGAGCAGGGTATGACTTGCTTGGCGATGTGCCACCTAGCACCCTGTCTGGCTCCTCCGCGTTGCCGATCGCCAACCCCGTGGCGGTACTTGAGACTGTGATGCCGGAGCCGAGAAGGAAGCGGGGGCGAGGGATGATCAAGCTGGGGGCGGGCTGGACGGTGATCCAGGGGGGCAGGATCAAGCGGCATCTGCCAACGGGAGAGGAAATCAGAGAAGCTGCAAGCAATGGAGGAGAGGTCGAAGAGGAAGGGAAGACTCCTTGTCAGGGTTTGAGGGGAGGGCTGGTGCAGCCGGGGTCAGCACGGCAATAGGACTCGGCGTACTGCTGATCATAGCTCAGGCATGCAGTGGACGGCACGGTGAAGGTGGCAGGTATGTTGCGGGAAGCCATACCGACAAGGGCGATGACCGAACGATCGATAGCCAACGCACTGAGGATCACTTCAGGAGGCCGCTAGATGCTGCTGAGGCATAGAGGTTGCTATATGCTAAGGTGAATACATATAAAGATGAAAGCATGCCTCTTTTGAGCGATGTAATAATGTTCACTGGTGATGAGGAACGGAGCTCGAGCCTCGCTAGCATGTCAGCGTGCTAGCCGCAAGGAGTGGGCGTGGCAAGGACCTAGAGCCTAAAGGACAAGGCAGGCGGGGAGCATCGAAGAACTGAGACTGGCCGGCTAGAGCCTGATAGTCGGACAAGGCCTCACTCTTGGATTCAGTTTGACCTGCACTTTGACCTGCAATTTCAGACTTCAGGCTTGTAGTTTCGGTCCTGCGGTTTGACCTGCACCGTTTGACCTGCCGCCGTGACCATTTGACCTGCGGTTTGACCTGCCGCAGTGCGGTTTGACCTGCGGTTTGACCTGCGGTTTGACCATGGCAACATTTTAACTTGAAGGCCCGTATTTTTGATAGCATATCAACGGTCAAATTGAACAAGTTGGCGAGATAAAAAAAAAGACGGTCCTCGGCATCCGCCGTTCACCCCCCACTCCTCTGCGACTTCTTCAGCAGTACCCTTCATTGTTGTGACCTATTTTCTTCCCACCCCACCCCCTCGCTGTTGCCGTGTAAACGGAAGTTCAGTGTCACGAGTCACCGGCGAGGCTGCCGCGTAGCCTTAGGAAGGGTCAACGACCACCCACCCCCACCCCCACAAGGTGACCCCACACACCAACAAAAATCATTGAATTCCAAAAATTCGATTTCAATAAAAGTCCGCACATCCCCACTTTATTATTGACTCCGACTACCCCCTGATCTTCCCTCAGAGTACCCTTTTCGCCACTGGGTGACCGCCGGCCCTCGTATCTGGCTAGTACCAGATACCGATTTTGCCCCCCACCCAGGGCCGTGACTCCCAAGGGAGACCGCCGGCCCCCGACTGAGAACTGCCATTTTTGGCGGCTTGCACGAAAAGACTCGATTTGCAAAATGAGGCAGCCAAGGGGTGGGGGTAGTCTCGGTGTCGCTTCCCCATCAAACTTATCAGCGTCTTTCCGTCAGCAGTATCAAAGGATTTTTTTGAGTATCTAGCAAATTATCCCTACCCCCACCCCCACCTCGGATTGACTTCACCCCCACTCTACCAACCTGGCTATAATCTCGCTTTCGCAGTGAGCCCAAGTCCCGCGATGATCGGATCCTCCATGTTCGATCCCCTTGAAGGCGACTACGAACAGACGGTGAGGGAGGGAGAGGACCAGGCAGAGAGAAGAGGACCAGGCATAGAGAAGGAAAGGACAAGGAGCGAGAGAAAGTGGAGGGAGAGGGAGAGATTCCAGAGAAGAGGAGACATTTGATGGGAGACAAAGAAAGTGTAAGGGTTGCAGGGACTGTAGAGAGGTCCATTGAGCAAGCGAAGTGAAAGGAAGAGAAACATCACAGACGCTGGTAGATAACGATCCTCTCGAGTTCGAGTCACCTCCTATGCCTTCCCTCCCCTTCCCTCCCCTTCCCCCCCGACCAGCTCGTGGATGATCAAGCTAGGTGCGAGATGGACGGTGATTCAGGGGGGCAGGATCAAGTGGCATGTGCGGATGGAAAAGGAGAGCATAGCAATGTACAAGCAACAAGTGGAGGTGAAGGAATATGACTATGTACTCATGTCAAACCACTAGGCTTTAAAATAGTGCTTGATGGCAGTAGTATTGTGAGAAAGGCCATGTATGAGTGTGACTACATAGTAAAGATCAAAGCATACCAGTGCTGAGTGCATGAGTGCTATGCTTGATTAAATGCAAGGGAGGCTACAGAGGCCCAAGGACTGGATCTGGATAGACATGTGAGGAAGCGACAAGCGAATGCATGTGAAAAGCGTATGGGGGCAAACCGGGGGGGATGAACTGGCTGGGAACCGGGCTGAGGTCAAGACTCGCTAGCAAGTTGTGGACGATGGCCTCCGCACGAGGAGGGTCGCTGAACCCCGTAGCTGTAAACTTCCGTCTTGCCCAACTCAAAGGCTGAAAGACCCGGCAGGACCCCCCGGGCCATCCGATTCCCCACTTTGAATCTAGCACATCGACATATCTCCCACCCCACCTCTTGCGTTCATCAGTGCCCTCTTGCCTAGGAGGGTCCGGTAGGTTCATCCCAACCCCCCCTCACCACCCCACCCCTCTCAGCCAAACAAACAAAAGGCGAAAGGACCTTGTAATGAGTACTTGTACCACAACAACCCACCCCTCGTCCCAATCACCGTTCTCGGGCAGGTAGGGGTTGTATTTATTCACGATAGAGGTAGGGGTTGTACTTATTCACATTCAGGAAGGGGTTGTACTTTTTCACGATACAGGTAGGGGTTGTACTTCGGATCCCAGTGTACCCTTGTGCCTTTCAATCCTGACCCCCACCCCTACCCCCCTAATTCCATGACACTTTAGTGAGCCTTGCCACCCATCTCACCTACCCCCCTAGCCACTTCCAATCAGTGACTTTCAACCCCCCCCGTCCCTTATTACCCCACCTGTTCCCTTTTCTTTCCTCTGCACTGAAGATCTCCGCTCTCCCTCCCTGTCCTCCCATGCTCTCTCCCACTCACGACCAACTCGACCTCCCGGTGAGCCACTCCCCTCTCACATCGCAGCACGTACACCCTCGATCCCGCCTCCTCCTGTACACGCATCCCTCCGACTCTCCCATTCCCGCTCCTCCTACTTTCCTACACATCTTCCTCCCCATTACCCTGACCGCAGACTGCATTGACGACTTGTCTGACGCCCTTCCGAGCAGGCCCTGCTGACAGGCGACCATGACGACCTACCCGCGGGACTTGCTTTCGCTCCTGACTACCCTCTCTACCTCGAGCATGACCTGCCTGTCGGCACCTTCCTCGACTCAGACCTCTTCCTCGACCCTCCCCCCCCGCTCTTCTCCCTCCCTATCCCTCCCCTCGACTCCCCTCCCCGACCAGCTCGTCTACCTCCCTCTTGACCCGCACGAGCCACCCTGTCTGGCTCCTCCGCGTTGCCGATCGCCAACCCCGTGGCAGTACTTGAGGCTGTAATGCCGGAGCCGAGGAGGAAGCGGGGGCGAGGGATGATCAAGCTGGGGGCGGGCTGGACGGTGATCCAGGGGGGCAGGATCAAGCGGCATCTGCGGATGGAGGAAGAGGCGGTTGAAGGTGGGATGAATATTTAAGGTTGAATGAAGGAGGAACTGAGGTATGAACGTGCTGTTTCATCATCATACTGCTATGCCATCCGACTTAGTAAGATGACAAGGGAGGGAGAGTGAGAAGATTACGGGTCAGGAGAGCATTTTTCGAATCAGCAGGCAGATGAGGTGAGGACTTCATTTGGGAGAGGGGTTGTATTGGTAGAAAGAAGCCGTGAAGGAAGTCAGATATCCAGAAAGGCGAGGATAAGAGGAAAACAGCTGCCAGTGTGATGCCTTGGGAGCCTCATGTCATACACCAGCATGATCTCATTTCCTCTCTCTACCCAATCACCGCATAGCTTCCGGCAGGTCTTGCTGTCGCTGATCTGATATCCTTTTCTTCTGCGATTACACATCACCCCCACCCCCACTCGATCGCTCAGGTAGTCACGCGCGCAGGCGAGTTTCGTACCGGGCAACTCGTCCGTTACCTAACTTTTTTACCACCCTACCCCAGTGGATGGCCCTGCGAGTGAAAAGTGAAGATTTCAGGGTTGCGCCAACGGAAATATATCAGAGGTTATTTCGTCAGTTTATCCAGGACCACTACTACATTTTTCACTTAACATTATGAGACGCTGCTGCCCTACCCTCCTGTCAACTTCTGTCGTGAGGATGTAGCCACCCACCCACATTTCATTCGTATCCCCTGGTATCCCTGGGGGTGAGGGGTGGTTATAAAAGAGCAAAATGGGTCACATGGAGCAAAAGGGCAAAGGAGTTCGGACCTTTACCACACAGAGCTCTTTCCGGACCACCCCACCCTACCACCCTCCAGATGAGCTGAAGTAGTCGACATCGATGACCCCACCCACCCCAGTGACATGACCATTCTGCACCTTACAACTCTTTTTTTGGCTACCCACGGCCGTGAAGCATACGGACTACCCCATCCCGATCAGTGACAATCTCGAGCTGACACCACCCACCCCTACTTGATAGCGTTGATTGCACCAGCTCCTGCGCCGCTTCGGAGCTGCAAAGTTCTCATGAGCACCGACCCCACCCCCTCCATGCCCCTTACAATGACCCCAAGAGACCCCCACCCATCAAAAATACAAAATTCATACCCCCTCGACCCTACTTCAAGTGAGCCCTGGCACTCGCTCTCCCTCGCTGTCCTCCCATGCTCGCTCCCACTCACGACCTGAAACTCGACCTCCCGGTGAGCCACTCCCCTCTCACATCGCAGCACGTACACCCTCGATCCCGCCTCCTCCCGTACACGCATCCCTCCGACTCTCCTGTCCCCGCTCCTCCTGCTTTCCTACACATCTTCCTCCCCATTACCCTGACCGCAGACTGCATTGACGACTTGTCTGACGCCCTTCCGAGCAGGCCCTGCTGACAGGCGACCATGACGACCTACCCGCGGGACTTGCTTTCGCTCCTGACTACCCTCTCTACCTCGAGCATGACCTGCCTGTCGGCACCTTCCTCGACTCAGACCTCATCCTCGACCCTCTCAAGCCTGTTTCATCCCCGCGCTGGTCTCCGTCTCCTACGGATGACTGCCCGTCCTCCCCGCTCTTCTCCCTCCCTATCCCTCCCCTCGACTCCCTCCCCGACCAGCTCGTCTACCTCCCCCCGGACCCGCACGAGCCGCTGGCGGACTCTGAGCTCTACAGCTTCCTCGACAACGACTGCCACGCTGACCCCGGCATACTGCCTTCTTCGAGCTACTCCGGCTTGCCTCCCCTCTCGCCAGCCTTCTCCGCGTCGACCTTGCAAGAGTCAGAGACGCCGAGGAGGAAGCGGGGGCGAGGGATGATCAAGCTGGGGGCGGGCTGGACGGTGATCCAGGGGGGCAGGATCAAGCGGCATCTGCGGATGGAGCCAGACGAGGAGGGAGAATGCTGAGAGGGACTCATAGAGAAGGGGAGAGGACAGAGAGGAGCAGGATGGAAGGGGCGGGTAGGAAAGGATAAGTAAAGGAATAATATTGCCTGCTTCAGAGCATAGAGAAGAGGGAATGGAAGCATCATTTACGTTACTATGCCAAGCAGACCATGACATGAAGTCTCTGTATCTCGGAATAATCACCGTCAATGGCGATTGTCTTGTAAGACCAACGACAAGCAAGACCAACGATTTCAAGGAAAAGGAGTCCGATGATAAAGGGAGAGAGGGGAGGGAATGCTGCTAGGTCATGTACCGGCATGATCTCGTGTCTGAATACCCCACCCCCTCTGAGGGGCCTCACCTTACAGTGCCCATTTCTGTGCATGTGACCCATCCATTGTCCGTGTAAAGGTAAAGGATACTCTACTACCTCAAGGTTGACCAGTGACTGGACCCCTCCTCAACTTGCACTACCCGGCCCTCCCCGCCCCCCCCCACCCCTCCCTGCGCATCCCTAAAAAGAAAACAGAACTGAGGGCAGAGGAAGTCACGCTGGCATGGCGTTGTTCCTACTATCTCTGGGCCCGGGGGACGCGCCAGAAGTTATGATCGATCGGATAACCCCACCCCTCTCAGAGCCCAACCTGCATACTATCATGCCGCCAAGTCCGTTCGATGCTACTGAGTAGGGTGGGGTGGGGGTCGAGTGACTGAACTTCGGGAAAATGGGTCTTGAGAATTCTTGTCCCCTACCAGGCTACTGATGACCCCACCCTTCCTTCCGGCCCCTCACTACCCTGTACCGTACCGTGAAGGGTTCACACTGACTACCCTACCCACTCAGTGACTCCCGTGACCCTTCAAGACTCAATCGGCACTGAACTTATACCGCAGCTGTCCCACCCTTTCAGCTCAGTGACCGATCCGGGCGGCCCCCCGGCCCCGTGGGCACCTGAGGACTATCATGCTACTACTAACGCCGAGAAGGACAGGCGCTCGGACTCAGGCTTTTACTCAAAGTTAAGATAAAATCAGTACGAGGACAATCAGGAGAGTCGAGGAGGCTTGACCCCGGGCCGGGCCCTGACACTGTCGCACAGGCCAAACGGCGAGAAGAGAAAGACAGCGAGAACCAAACCCAATCCTGCCGACTGCTGTGCGGTCCCCCAAACTTAACTGATACCTTCACTTAACTGCGCTGACTCGCTGAGAGTCGGACCGGCGCCGGGTCGCCGGGACTCCGCCCAGGTCGGAAGCCGTATCGATGTACTAAGTTCGCCTGCCTTTCAACGGTATTCAATGATTGCCGCTGGGCCCGGCAGCCGCACTGCGGCTCACTGAGTCACCTGGCTGCTCACCTGGCGCAGACCTGGCGGCTCAGAGTCACTGGGCCCCGAGGTCATAGCGGGGACGCGGCCACTTTTCATCGCACATACAAGGGAAACATGAAAGGATACAGGAATGCGATGCAAGGAAGGGAGCGAGTAGAAGAGGAAGAGCGAGAGAGGGATAGACCCCATGGGAGGAAAGGAAGAGAAGAGGATGAAGCAGGGTAGATGCCTTGAGCGCAGCAAGAGCAAGTATCTTAGGCAAGAGCAGCGATGGAGAACGAAGAGGATTGGAGGACTTAACGACGTGGTAGGGAGCAGAGAGATGACGTACGTTGGTCTCGATAAAAACAATCATCCATGGATGTCGTGAACGAAAAATGACAAGAGGTAGAAGAGCACACAGACAGGACAAGAAAACATCAGACAAGACAAGCAAACATGTATCAAGCATGCTACGCAGAAGTTGTCTACAAGCTTTCAAGAGGTGATATTTTGATGTGCAGAAAGGCACAAGCTCTAAATCTCTGAGTCCCCCAACATTCTGCATGAGAGTTCGACTAAGACAACGATTTTTCTCCTCCTCTGCAAGGATGAGAGAGTGAGGTGAGGAAACGACTGGCCATGACGTCAAGGCGCCTCCTTCCGGCTGCCTTGGCCTCTCTGGTCTTGACCTGCTGCTTTGAGGCGTGCGGATCTTTCCTCGTTTCCTTCTCCCGGTATCCGAACCTGCCATGCTGCTGCTGCCTGTAACTTTCGTTGCTAGTAGCGAGTGCTCGCGTTCCCCTTTGCCGTCCTTGTCTCCCCCTCGCCCACCTCCTCCTTCCCTCTTTCCTCCTCTTCCTCGTCCCCTCCCCTCGTGCTTGCCCAGTAGAACAGTCTGCGAGGCCAAGAAGAAGAGCGGCGGGAAGCAGGGCAGCAGCGGGGAGGCATCAGACGGCGGGGAGGGGAGAATGTCTCCTCGCATTAGGAGCGATATCGGCATCTCCATGAAGACTCAGCTCAAGATCGTGAAGGCGTACAGGGAGATGGAGAGGGCGAGCACCAAGATGGTGACGAGGACCAAGTTCAGGAGAGCCAAGGCGTCAGGGCCAGGGAAGGAGGACGAGATGGGGCCGGAGGTTCTCTCCAACATCTGGGCGAGGGAAGACGTTCCTCCTATCTTCTTCGTGGATGGATACAACGTGATTGGGCAGTGGAACAAGCTGAAGAAGAAGAGAGACAAGTGAGAGAAGGAGGAGGAGGAGGAGGAGGGGGAGGGGGAGGAGGAGAGAAAGGGGGGGGGGGAGGAGGAGGAGGAGGAGGAGGAGGAGGATATGACGAAGGGTTGGGGGCTGGGAACGAGACGAGGACGAGGACCCTGAGTAGGGAGATGAGATGGAGATGTAGTTATAGATGGTTGTGATAATGTAGAGGGGGAGCTGTAAACGACTTATGATGTTGGCAGCGGTGACATCAGTGGAGCTCGAGACGTCCTCTACGATGAGATCTCTCAGTTCGCTCATTACCGCGGTGAGACAGAAGCTTGTTCCTCCCGTTACTCCCCATCAGCCTTCCTTTCCCCCTCCCCTGCTCCCCTCCTCTTTGCTCGCTCTCCCCTCCTCAACTCTTCTTCCTTGTTTCTACTCCTCTCCTCTATCTTCCACCCTCTACATCCACAGCTCCTCCAGCTCCATGATGCTCGGTCATTTTCTCAGGTTGTCAGTGCACGATCGTCTATGACGCTGTAGGGTACACGGCTGGACTGCCTATCACGCAGGTAAGGAGAAGGAAAGGAGGAGAGAGAGGAGTGCTTGGAGGATGAGAAACTGAGGAAGAATAAGATGAGTCGAGGAGGAGGAGGAGGAGGAGGAGATGGATGGAGGGCAGAGTGGGGAAGCTGGAGGAGGAAAGAGGAGACGAGGAGGTCTGCGATGACACGTGAGCAGGCGGAGATGACACGAGCAGGGGTTGAAGTTGTTTACGTGAGGGACGAGAGTGCAGACACGTGAGATCTGCTGCTGCTGCTGCTTCCCCTGCTTGCCCTGCTGCTGCTGCTGCTGCTGCTGCTGCTGCTGCTTCCCCTGCTTGCCCTGCTGCTGCTGCTCCTCCTGCTGCTGTTTCCCCTGCTGCTTCCCCTGCTGCTTCCCCTGCTGCTTCCCCTGCTGCTTCCCCTGCTGCTGCTGCTGCTCCTCCTCCTTATGCATAACCACCGCCTCTCCTCTCACTTCGACCTCCCTCTATGTCCTCTCCCCTTTGCCCTCCTCCTGCTCTTCTTTTCTCCTCCCTTTGCTCAATGGCTGCTCCAGGTACATCCAGGCGAGAACAGCTGAGATCTCGACATGGAAAGAGAAAGATGGAATCAAAGTAAACCCCTCCTCCTCCTCCTCCTCCTCCTACTCTCTTCCTCTCCTGCGCTTCCTTCTCCTCTCTTCCTCTCCTGCTCTGCTCTGCTCTGCTCTGCTCTGCTCTGCTCTGCTCTGCTCTGCTCTGCTCTGCTCTGCTCTGCTCTGCTCTGCTCTGCTCTGCTCTGCTCTGCTCTGCTCTGCTCTGCTCTGCTCTGCTCTGCTCTGCTCTGCTCTGCTCTGCTCTGCTCTGCTCTGCTCTGCTCAGCGTCGCCCCCTCGCCTTCTTTCCTGACTTTGCTCGACCAGCCTCCGAAGGTCTACATGTGCTCGTCTGATCGAGCTATCTCGGTGAAGCTCCTGCTCCTCCTATTTCCCTCCTTCCCTCTCTTCCCCTCTCTTCCCTCCCCTCCTCCCCCTTTCCCTTCCCTTTTCCTGTCCTGTTGCTATGTGCTCGGAGCTCCTCCTAAAATTTCTCAGGATATCGCCACCGGGCATGGAGCTCTTGTTCTCTCCTCTGCTCTCTTCATTCAAGTTAGTTTTTGTCACCCTCCTCTCCCTTCCTCAACTGCCGCCTGTTGGTCTCCTGACCTCTCCTGACCTCTCCTGACCTCTCCCCTTCTCTTTTCTCCTCTCCAACCCTTCTGCTCCTCTCCTCTCCCCTCATCTGCTCTGCTCTGCTCTGCTCTGCTCTGCTCTGCTCTGCTCTGCTCTGCTCTGCTCTGCTCTGCTCTGCTCTGCTCTGCTCTGCTCTGCTCTGCTCTGCTCTGCTCTGCTTTCTCCTCTCTTGCACGCAACTTAAACCAACTTGCAGGAGATCAAGAGGGCTAAGAAGGAGATGGAGGGATCCTACGTTGACCCCAGCCATGCTTCACTGTAATCTTATGCTCCTCCTCCTCTTCGTCCTCCTGTTTCAACTTTCCCTCTCCTC